CACACACACACACACACACACACACACACACACACACACACACACACACACACACACACACACACACACACACACACACACAAAATAAAATATAAAAACACAAACAAAAATAAACGTGTGCCTGATTTTTTTTCCTGAGTCCTCCTAAGGCTTAACATTGTACTCATCATAATGAATGCAGTTTAGCTTCACAAGGTTCGAGAATGCTTCAGAAAAGAACTTCAGACCTGACAACAGATCAAATTTACAATCAGATTTATTCAGGCAGGGGCTGGTAACAGACTGTGATCATGTGCAGATGGGGAATAATGATAGGCGTTAGTGGAGGTAGATGATGAGACAGGCTTGTCAGAAGATCAATCAGAAGATTTCTGCTTACAGTTGTTCTTTTGTTTTCCAGGTTCAGAGGAGGAGGAGAAACAAGAATTGAGCTCACGCAAACATGATTACCTGTGTTTCATGGCAGCGGGTGATAATGTTTCACTAGCTTTTTTATTTTTTTATTTTTTTTTTACATTTTTAGCATAATTATTTTCACTTAGAGATTTTAAAGCATAAAAACAGAAATAATAGCTTGTATTTTCTTTGTAGACTAAATGTATGCATTAATGTTCAGATTTCTACTGAAGAAAAAACACCCTCTATTAGAGAAAATGCACGAGGCAGATGTTTACAGTAACAATGGCATGTACCTGACCTTCACTTCATGACTCGACTGAATTCATTACTTTGCTCTTCTTTTTGTCTAGAATTCCTTGCACGCTTTTTATAAACAGCCTCTAATTATCAATAAAATCCATAACCAGGCATGAAACATGCTGCTGACTTTAGGTCAACAGACGTTTTGTTCTGCACCTGGAACACAGTCCAAAACATTAATATGGAGTTGCCACCAATAAAAGTTTAAATCTGAGCTTAATGTCATATCAAAGAGCCTGACTGATAATTTGGGAGACAGGTAGCCTGAGAGGTTTAACCAACCAAAAAACAAAAAACAGCAAAGAAGAGTTTTACCTTTAATTTTTAAACTCTTCCAACTGGGGAGGGCGATTCTGTCTTACTTAAATAGTGCCCCTGCCTCTTAAACACTGACCAAGGACTTTGTGAATAGATACACACCTTTTCTACCTGAAAAAGGTACCCCTTTTCACTAGCCTGGTAAAAACCAGACCCTTGACCTTCATTTTGCTTCGTTTGAGGGTCTGGACTCTCGGCTATAGAGAAGCGATACTTGCTGGAAGCGTTGCCTCTGCTGAAGTTTAAAATGATTGGATCGGTTGGCCGTGACGAATGTCGCTGTGAAGGAGGCTAAGATAAGATGCTAACCAGAAATTGCGTATGCTGTAAACAACCCTACTGAGAAGAGATAACTACTGAGCTGAACCAGACGACTGTAAATGAGAGCTGCTGCTTTGTCAGACAAATTTAAATGAATTTGGAAGCCTTATCAACACAGACTGGCTTCATTCACTTCCTTCACCGTCATTGCTAAAATAACTAGCAGACACTGCACAGAAAATCAACGTCGTTCAAAACTCCGCCTTCTGCTTGTTGATTGGCCCAGATAAAATAAACTACAAGCAGACACTGCGCAGAAAATCGACGTTCTGTTCTCTGATTGGCCCGGACGAAAATTCTCCCGAAGAAATCCATCTCTATGGGAGAAATCCCAGACGGAGCGTTGAAGCAAAACTAGAATTGAGTGGAGCTGTGTAGGAAGGCAAGCGCCAGGCTAATTTTTCACTGACCAACTGTAAAATAGCCAARCTTGGACAATCAGAAGTGAGAAGACAAACGATGCTGAAACTCAGTGTTTACAAACCAAGGGGTTCACTTGCAAGGTGTCTGTAGCCGTGTTTCCATCCAATTTTAATTTGAATTTTGAGCATTTTTTTCCAATTTCGCAAAAAAGGAAAAAATGAAGAAATGTGAATCAGAATTGTTTCCATCAAGTGGCTCAAAAGTTTCATTCATCTTCACAGTCAACCAAATCCTTTCATCCATCCATTATCTATACTGTGACGGCCCTGCTGCTGCTGCTGGTCATTATTGCAGACAGTTGCCGTGTGTTTGTATAATTGTGCTTGTCACTAGGTCTTCCTGAAGGGGGTGTGGCCTAGGCCCTTAAGAGCGCACCTGGAGAGTGGAGGAAGAGCGTGCCTGTGGAGAGCGTGCGGTCCGGAGCACGCCTGACCGTGGTGGCACTTAACTGTAGCAGCACCTATGATGTGGAGAGTCGAGCTGGCGCAGGAGGAGAAAAGAAAGTGAATGCAGTACTGAGGACGACGTTTGAGCTACCTGAGTGTTTTGCTGTGCGGCGGATGTGTGGAGCTGTGCAGTGGTGTCAGGCTGAGGAGCTGAGAGGTGTGGTTGTGCCACACTGGAGAGCTGGTGTGTCGAGAGTGATCCTGAGACGCCTGGACAAGACGCTGACTCAACAATGCTGGCGGAGAGTTCGGAGCACGACGGTGGCCGAAGACAACCCGACCACAGATTTGTTTTACCAGCCGGTGAAACTGGTACTGAACCACAGACTTTCAGTGGTACAGATTGGTGAGGAACTGCTGGTGACTCCCAAGTCCTGGAGCATCACTACGCGACGGTCGACAACTCACTTACTCCTAGACATTTAAATAAATGCCTCTTTAGGCTTAAAACTGGTAAAACAGCGCCGTGTTTCCACACATGTTATGGCTCTTAGAGCCAGGTCGTAACAATACCCACTTCCTTTTTTCAGGGTCACGGGGGTAAATCCTTTGTTTTTAGGTGCAGCAAAAACACACAAAGATTTGCTGATACTGTCAGTATCTAAATTTTGTTAAAATTGGCTATTACATTACAGAAAAGTTGCATCATGAATAAAAACAGAAAAAAGTTTTATTTTCTGAGAACAGGCCTCTCAGTAACAGACAGTCTTATTAATTTTACATAAATTTCCTGCAGATCAGAATTTATATTGCTGTAAAAGATTGAAGATAGAATCAAACCAAGCCTGAGTTGGTTTAAAATAACACAAAGAAAGCTATATTTAATTTATAAACAGGATGCTTTTCCAAGCAGCCGCCCAACTCATACTACGAGCCTGTCCTCGTTATCAACAGAAAAAAAGTCACACTTTGAGCTTAGCAAGTCTTTTTGTCAAGTGGCAGGAGTTTTAGTTTATTGTAAGTTAYAACAAAAAGAGCTTCATATTTCAGAGAGTGTTCGGTAGTCTCGTAGCAACAACAGGAACCCCGCTGAGCTCCCCACACTTTGAGCTGGTTGGTATACACAGGGGCATAAAGTGTGGACGGCTAAAAACCAGACTGGAGCAATTACATTGTTGGAAAAGAGCTGGGGGATTCACAGAAGCTGTCTAAAGGYGGTTAGTAAGTCCTGTAAAAGGTTTGTGGTCTTTACCAGCACATCTAACATATTTCATATCTGCACTAACTCATTTGGAGTACWTAAACTGGTTAAAATTAAAGAACTCAGTTAACGCTCATTAGAATTTCGATCAGATGTGGGATTAATGAGGGATTTCCAGAGTTCGTCACACTGTGAAATAATTTWGAGAAATTAAAGTTTGTGCAAAAAGATAATAACAAAACCTTGTCTGTATGTAGAAAAGGTTTATATTTGTAAATAACACAGTTAATGGGAAGACTATAATTGTGYTTCCCAAACACACTTGTGGTTCCTAAAGTTCCTAAAAGTAGAATAAGAGGCTTAGGTTTCAGTTATCAGACTTCTACTGTATTTTGTGGAGCAAACTTTCAATTTATGTCTGTGAAGCTGAGACCTTGTCTACTTTTAAGACCAGGCTTAAATTTTGTTTTTGATAAATGCTAYAGTTAGCGTTGTCTTAGTTATGCTGCTATAGGTTTATAGCCAATTTACACTTTGAAAAATTTCAAGATATTTGATTTCATTGTTGCAGTTGCATGGCAGAAATTACATCTTTTTTGTTTACACTCCACCTCCAAGAACCCATTTAATGCAAAACCCCYTCGCAGAATGTTTTTCTTGCAGGGTATGTGCCAAATGTTGCGTGATTGGTCAGAATTTCATGGGCGTGATTATCAGGTTTTATCAAGTGTGAGGTTCAGCTGGCTGAAGCTGATAAAAATAATACAACTTTTACAACTGCTCCAGTAAAACTARCAAAGATAGTCAAATAAACCTTACAAAAATGATCAAAGAACTGGTGCAAGGAAATAGCACCATGTTTATGTACGGACACAGGTGGATCTCTTGTACGGTCCGGGAAAAAGTACATCTAGGTTGTGCAACGTAGGGAAACTTTCCTGCACTGTCTGTCAGAAATGATCAGTGGTGGGCAAWGCTAATCCACAAATTRTCTCTGCAATTTCTAAAGCGCTTATGAAAATATTTAGGTCTGCATCCTCAAAAACACTTATGCCATAGATAAACTAGCAGAAACTAAYTGAAAACTAGTTGAATTAATTAAAAGTTTTTGAGGATTGCTAGTTYGGCTGCTTCTTTGTCTTTTTCTTTTGTTTGTTGTAGATTTTTCATTAAAGAAGCATCAATAAAGTAATTTTAAAACTGTTTATTGGTAAACTGAAACGATGCATTCTGGGTACATGACAAATTTGATTTGTGATGGGATATGAAAGCATGGAGTACAGGAAACTGTATGCAAATTTCAAAATAAAAGCGTGGATTTTAAAGTTTTCCATGTAGTTGCTCCATTTGACCACTAGATGTCAGTCTTCATCAGCATAACATCTTTAAATCATTTCTAACCCCGTTGGCCGATTGCTTCGACCAATTACGTCAAGTATTGAGCTCCAGCATTTAAACTCTATTTGTTTTAAAGGGAGCTCCAACTGTAAAGTAAAATAAATCAATACATACAAAATTTTAGTATGGATTACAAATGTTAACTGTTTTTGCTGGGAAAGGGAGTTCAAAACATTGCCTTCCTGCAACATAAGCAGACACAAAGCATTGTGGGAAATGAGAACCCTGACCGAAAGCAACAGTCAGCAAAGATGTATACTGTACCTTTCTAATAAGTGTGCTTATCTGGGAGGGGAGCTGTTGGATAGATCATGTGTGTTGTGATTCATTGACAGCCATACCTTCTGCTGTTCAAGTTAATGATGACTGGTAGATAATTAGGTATTAGTGGTACTGTATTTTAATTTTAGAAAGCTCAAATCCACTTATGAATTATAAAAATTAGTAAGACCGCTAAAGCACAAACAAAATATTTAGGCCTGCCATTAGCGGATTTGCGCATTAGCGGACWGGTGTCCACCACTGGAAGTGATGGTTTGCAAGGTAACACTTCTCTTTGGTTAACAACTCCTCCATCTACACCAACCTTGTGGTCGCTTTGTAGGCTTTTGCTTGTGACATGTGCTGCAGTTGAAGGACGGTGAGAGAACTTATCAAGAGTTCTCTTTTGAGTATAAAATGTCCGTGCAAAAACAAATGTCTCACAGCCACCTGAGTGAGAACAAAAGTCTTACTTCTTGTGAAGTTTGTAGTAACCTTGAGTGTTTAGAGCCAGAAAGGGGCCCATGGCATCACAAACTGCTTATTGTGGTGTGAAATTCTTAACTCTCCACTCTACATGTAAAGAACTAAACCTCTGGTTGTTGCGGCCACAACCTGAGCATCCTTCAGGGACGTTTGTGGCACGTGTGTGTAGCCGTACCAGTTTTGGCGTCCACGGAGAAATACGGCTGACCCTCCAGGATGCTGTAGACCACACGAGCACTGTTGCCATATGTCGGGTCGTCGGCATCTGTAGCAGTCACCTGGATCACAGACGTTCCTGGGTAAACACAGAGTCAAAGGTGAGAGGCAGGCAGTGCCAACTGTTGGGTAAAGTGATAATTTTAAGTAGACTTTTTTTCATATTTGGCAAGAAATTAAACTGAATAATTAACTTTGGAAGAAGCTTTACAGGCAGTGACTGAAAGAGATGGAAATGAGCTTTTATAATGCATTTTGTTAAATACCAATATAAATGCACAATAAATTTGTTCTATTCTGCCCATGCACATTATTTCTCTATYTTTGCTCACCAATTCTTGACATTTCTGGCACAGATGCCTGATAGGGACCATCTAGAAACTGTGGCTCGTTGTCGTTGATGTCCTGAATCTTAACGATGAACTCGGACTCAGGCTCCAGAGGTCTGTTCGTCAAGCGGTTGCGAGCCTGGGCACGCARGACGTATTGTGCCTTGACCTCCCGGTCCAGTCTTTGGATGGCATGTATGTCCCCAGTGCTGTCATCAATGGTGAAGGTACTGCCTGCCCCCTCRCCCGTCAGGATGTACTTAATGGAGCCATCGCCTTTGTCCATGTCAGAGTGGAGCTGTAAGAGCCAAGCAAGGAGTTGTTGGTCTCAAAAGACATTTAAAKGACATCTAAATGGTTCAGAAACACAACAGTTAGGTCTGCATGTTGGAAAGATGATTGTATTTAGTCACGATCAAGAAAAGGATATTCACTTCCATCTCTACTATAAAAACAGACTGGTAACAGTCTGTGGTCCAGGTTAGGTTGAAATCTTGATTTGACCTTTTTTAAAGAATGTTTAATTAACTCCTTTCTTTAGAACTTGAAAACATTGAAGACCAGAGAAACAACAAAAGGATGTGAGATAGTGATCCTCACGGACCATGACTGGACACCATGGCTTTAGAATGTCCTGGAAGTATTTTGTTATTAACACGCAGMCTGTTTCTGTGACACATTAAATGAAATTATGTTTTGTTTCATACTTACAATTACAGCAACACTGATGATAATAAATTGAGCAATCGAGCTTAGAATTAAAAACGATCCCACACTGAACACTTTTGCTTATATAAGTTGCCTAAACAACATGTAACAYCTGTTTAGTGGCTAATAAAATCAAGCAAAATAAAAGTTTTTACAAGTTCAGAATGTGAATCAAGCTTAGTTGTTTGTAATCTCTATCAATGCGCCTGCTTTTCATGCATCACGTCCAGATTTGGCCTGTTTGTTTAAAGTTGTTTCTATGCTTGGAAAAAATTTATAAGAACAAAACTGTCTAAATGTGGTTTAAATTTAGTTGCAGATATTCCAGTCTAAGTAAGATTTACAACCTAGTCAAATTTAAAATAGCTTTATAGAAGTTGTCTTCTGATCTAAAGAGTTCAACACTTTTCTTGAGACTATGAAACATTACATTTGTTCAAATCTGTACCCAAATGGCTAAGATGTACATGTATTTCTCCACAAATGAAATTGTCAAAAAAAAAGAAAAAAAAAAAAGAACAGGAGTATGGAGCTAGAAATGTTGGACTGACATGCTTTCTAAGACGTTTAATTAGGTCACATCTCCCAGTTTTAGAACAATGCTGCTGCACAGCATCCTAAACATACAGATAACAGAACAAAATGACTTTTGAGGCCAAATCAGCCTCATGCTCTCAGTCCAAGTAAACATGCGTTTCACTCACTGAAAGAAGGAAAAAAGCCCAGAGATGAACATGAGCTGAATCACACAGAAAATGATCAGCTGTTATTTGGAATGCAGAATTACTGTATATCAGCACAACAACATTACAGGCAAATAAAAATATTTAAAATTAAACATCAGCACTGGGTTCAAATGAAAGATGATGTTGGATCTAAATCCTGCTTTCAGCTGTTCTCAATACTCTATGGAGAAATGTCTTTACAAGTGTGACAGTTTATTTGGCTCGCAGGAAACAAACAAACACTATTTTACCCAAAGCAAATGTGCATTTGAAAAGTGTTAMTATTGCTACATTTGCAACATTACTRTTTAAACTAAACATTTTCTCTACCTTCGAAAATGTATCTGTTTTAAGAAAGTTAATGAATGCTAAAATAATGCCAGGACAGTCAGTGGTAATAATATATACAGTAACGACACATTTTTATTTTACCGTTTGTTTAACTAGGTAAATCCCATTGAGATTGCAGATCTTTTTTTCGAGGGAGGCCTGGGCCTGAAGGCAACCTATTGAACATCTCTTTGGGGGAAACCCATAGTACCCGAAGAAAACCCACACAAGAACGAGAAGAAAGTTCTAAAGAAGAGGCTTCTAAAACTTGCAAAACTGTTCTTTAAATATTAGTAAATATTAACTGATGATCATCAGTATGATAAAACTAGGAGTTTACTGCTCTGGAGCATACAGGTGTGTGTATTAATGGGGCAATACCATGTAAATTCAACTTTTTTGTGATTCATATCACGTTAAAACGTCATTCCCTCAACAAAAACATACACAGAGTATTGATTTCACTAATCTGTGCATGTTTGTGAACTTCTGTAAAGTCCTGTGTTAGCTATTCAGGAGAACAAAAGCAGCTGGTTGGTCCTAGAACTAAATACACCTTGCTGCAGACTGCAAAATGGGGTGGGGTCGGGTAAGTGTTAAACCAAGACCATATATAGAAAATAGAACCATAGCACTCCAGAAATGAAGGGGGCACTGTTTTCAGGAGTGGACGTTACAGTAAATTTGACTACAGTAAAAATACTTTGGTTTGCAAACTTCATGAGAATGAACCACCATACTACTGGAACAATGTCTTTTGTACAGATGTGAAAGCAGACGTGTTTATCCTAGTTGCACAGCACCATCTTTAGTGAAAACCCAAATACAATTCTTCAGCACAAAACGCATCATACCAACTGTCACCATGCAGTCTGAATGTCTCTGAAGACCAAAGTGTTCAAGAGTTGAACATGAGGCCATGTGTCTGACAGCTTGACTGGAATTGGGTCATGATACAACAGGTACAGTAACTGATCTTAAACACAGCAGCAAATGTACAACAGAGGGGACGGAAAAGAAAATCAAAGATGTTGCCATGAAATGCGGGAACTCAAGACCTTTGTGCAGTAATGTTTTGCGTGCGATCTCTCTCACTACAGGTTTTCTTGATTGTTTACAAACAAAAAAACTCTGGAAGTTAACTGCTGATTGTGTCAAAGTGAATCAACATGACATCCCAAATCAATAAAACCAAATAAAAAGTACTTACTATTATTAAAGATTTTAATTTATTACCACAAAAAAATGCTAAATGTACTGTGTAAATGACAGCATTGTACATGGCATCATGTGGACTTGAGGTTAARTTACCTGCAGACCTTAGGGGTGGTGTGTGGTCATAGTTCTCTAAACCTGTATCAGCAAGTCCACGTAATCACAGCTCGGAGCCTGTTTGTTGCTGTGGACTGAGCCGTGCAATCAGAAGCCTTTTGTGGCCTCTAAGTGCAAATGCCAGCCTGTTGATGCGCAATCAGTCTTTACTTTGTACCAAGAGGGCCTCTCTGTATGATGACGAGTACTTACYGCCATCAAGTTGACTGAGTGAAATTCAATGCCTCCTTTGGTATCTGCCTTGTATATAATCAACAGGCATGAACAGCGAGCACACAGCTCAGCACTCCGTCTGAAAACAGACTGCTTTCAAGATTCTTGCTTTGGCCTTTCATCATCTGTGGCCTGTGAAAGAAATGACCCAGGCAGAGTTGTTGAACTGCAAAAAATGCTGCAGCGTTACAACTCGTTGTTAGGCCCTCATTGTTTCAGCAGCATTCACAAGCTGCAGATGATACAGCTTTTCCTATCTTATTTGGACTCTATGCCCACCTGTTCTCTCCATCCTGCAAACCCGCCGTTCTCAAACAGATTTTTTTTGATCGGTTGKGAATTTCTGACTTGTGTCTGATGCATCTCAGGCCAGAGCTTTTTCTTCATCTTCTCCAACACAACCCCCTCCCCTCTTACCTCCAAGGCATTCGAAAAGAGGGAGCTTGACACAGGGTATCAATTACCTGCTCCATCTCCAGTCCAAAAGCCCAAACCTCCAACACCACAAAGGTTTGGAATACTAAATTTCTCAACAGAGAGACAGGCTGAGCTCAGAAGAAAGACTCATAAAAAGGCAGGCTACAGATAATCTCTTTCATGTTTGYTTATGTTCTACAGGGCCTTTCTGCCCTGAGTGGCTTTCTGGACCAATGAACTTGCTTATGTCCTTAAGTTTGGAAGAAAAAAGCTTCATATTTATTGGATGAAATCCATCAATTTTAATTGATAAAAGATAAAGATGGTTGAGAATAATAGATTGAGTAAACAAATATTTAAAGGAGGAGTGTCATGGATTTTCCAGACACATAGTTAAATTCTGTACCACAATCAAGTAACTATGTTGCCTTCAGTTGTTATGAAAATGGTGTTTATATTAAAATAAATTTGATTTTGCATCATAGTCTGTCTAAATGACTTGATAATGGTCTCTTTAAGAACCTCTTACCTTTTTCTTACACTCCTACTTCAGCACATCTTTACAACAATGCTTCATGCTCTTTACAACCTTTCATAGGTGTGTTGTACTTTGTTGTAAAAAAAAGAACAAGCAACAATATATAATACGAGTTTTGGAAAATGACAACCTTAGATTCAAATGTTCTATTTTGACATTAGGTTAACATTAATTCACAAAATTAAAAGAATAAAAACCTCAAAAACAGTTTAAATGAAATTATTATGAGCAATTTTAAATTTTTTGTTTTGTAGTTAATATAGGTCTCTCAAAAATTGTTCACATAAAGGTGATTGTAACATAAACCAAAAAAATGTTATATAATTATTTAATTTGTTTTTAGCTGTGGTGTTAAATCTTTTATTGAGGATGACTGGGTTTACATTTATTGACTTTCTGGTCGTATCACGACAGAACAATCAAAGAGCTTCTTTGAAGACCTCTTGTATTCTTTTTCCAATAAATCAGAAGTGTTGCTGAAGTGCCTTCTTCCACTGAAACACTCTGAGTAAAGCTTTAGGGAATTAGCTACCTTTAAAACAAAGGAAATGCTAACAAAAGCATCTCCAACTTTTACAATTACAGGATTAAATTTAGCATTTCTGACCACCAGAAAAAAAAAAATCCAAAATCACAAAACGTGACCATTAAAGTAAAGATGACAAATTGTACAAAGTTTTATATTCTCTTGGACTGCAGGCCACTGAAATAAGTGCATTCAGGGATTAAATCTGTATTTTTTTTCTAATTCACTGAAGCTGTCCTTTGCCCTCCTTTGATCTTTTCTTCTACATTCATCCTCTCAGATTTAACAGAGACCTGCAGGCTGCTGAGCCCTCTTACAGATCTTCTAGTCTGCAGTGTTTGAAAGTTGGAGGTGAACTTCTTAGCAGCTCCTGCTCTGAGGTTCCCTCCTCATCMGCAACAACAAGTGAAAAGGTSACGTAGAGTTGTTCTACCAGAGGCTGGAAAAATGCACTTCTTCAAGCGCTACCTTCATGTCCGCATGTATATACCATGTGTCTGCGTGTTCGTACAGTCCTGCTCATAGTCAACACCGACCTTTCCGATATAAAGTGGGTCCAGCCCGGTGTATTCCTCCAGGACAAAGAACTGATTCCACACCCAGCCTCGTTTCACTCTCTGCAGCAGCGCTGAGCTTCTGGTGTTTTCCTCATCTGTTGGTTTACCCAGGAGGCTATGAGGCAGAAGGGTCAAAATGCTAAGGGTCAGAAGGAGCAAGGTGTTCGCAATAGCTGGAGGATGCAGTCGGACCCCCATTGTGAAGCACAAAGATCCTTCCACCTCCTTCACCAGTCGTTATTTCCTGATTCTTGCCTTTCTGAATGCAGCCGGTGTTCTAGGAGAAAAGAAAAAGAAAAGGACAGATGAGTGTCAAATGTATGTTTTATGGTTTTTTCTGTTTAATGCTGTTGAAAACCTGTGTATTTGGTTGCTTTTATTCTTTTTCAGTATAGTTTGGCTGTCTGAGTGTGTCTGCCACTGGAAGAATAAGAGGGATCACACTGAGCTGTGTAAAATTACAAAAATGGTGAGAAAAGCAAAAAAAAAAAAGGCAAAAAACCCCCACAAGCATAAGGTCATAAAGATCATTATGACAAGTCATAATGTCGGTTTGGGAAGGAGGAGCAGATTGATTCTGTTAGAAAGTTTGAATAAAATACAAATTTTAATTATTGATGTTAATAATTAAAGGTTTTCAAACAGTGACGTATCAGTTTGTTTACAACCARTCAGTGCGCTGAGTCAAAAAAGTGATCATTCAAATATGTTCAAACTAGATGCACCTGTGCAACTCAAATCTTTCCCCCATTTGTTTTCTTCTTTGATTCTGCATTTACTGAAACAATAGAACACAATCACAAGATATATATTTTTGTGTACACCAAGTTTGAGTCTTATTTTCCTTTCAACTTTCATTTGTCTCATAAATTGTTTAAACAAAAAGCACGCTGAATGTTTGGTGACACTGCAACACTAACTATATAATTAATAAGATACATTATTTAACATCTTTATTTTCTATACGCATCTTTTGTATATTAAGTAATATTTGTGTTAATGAACAGACTTTTAGGTTCTTATTCATACCAGCTCAAATACTCAGTAAAACAACCTTCTTTGAGGCATTTCCATTTGTCCTTCAGATKTAATGTTTTAGTGAAAAATAAAAAAAAGTCCATAAATGCTTCACAAATTAAAGATTTTAAACAAAGTTTCTTGTAGATTTCTGTTTATATAATGGAGGTTTGGGGATAAATGGAGTGTGATTTGTGCATTGAGTGTATGCTGGAAACCAACAATGATGGTGTTGATCATTTGGTTAGCTTTGTTCTGAGCTTTGTTCTGYTTCTCCTTGTTGCATTGTCTCATCTGGAGCAGCAGGGGAGATACGTTCGACACAAACAAGCTGCTGGACAAACAGAGATCTGGAGCTTCCACACTCCACTTGCGTGTGGAGCAACAGTTTCCTGTCTGGTCACTGTCATAGCATTWGTATGGGCCATCATACATCTCTAGCCCTCAGCCTCAATGCCGGCTCCCCACAGGGCTGTGCGCTGAGCCTCCTGATCCATACCCTTAACACACATGATTGCACTTCTGCTCAACACAGCAACACCTTTGTCAAGTTTGCAGATAGATGTCCACAGTGGAGGGGCTAATCTGTGGGGGATGCGGTGGAGCAGCTGACAGTATAGTTCGGAGAGCACAACAATTTATTCCTCATTCCTCAAGAACCAAGGAGCTGGTAACAGATGAAAAAAAAACTCCAAACAAAGCAAATATTTTACCATTGGAGGTGACCATGTGAACAGGGTGACAGACTCAGGTGACCACAATGAGGAGGACCTCTGAGCTGCTCATGGTGGTCAGGAAAAATACTATCACCTAGAACCTGTTTCTATCCTGATGATTTCTTGTGCCTCTTTTCAACTAGAACCTCTACAGCACGGTTTGACTCAGCTGAACTCTGATCAGCACGGTTCGGGTGGTTTTCCATCACACTTCAGTAACAGCTCTAGTGGGTCAGTTCATTGWAAAGTTAGGTGTTCCCAGAGTCCAAAAATTGAGGCCACACGCCTTACCAGCTGGTGGTAGTTATGCTACATTAAGCTATTTGCCACCAATAAAGATAGTAGAAGAAGACCCCGAAAAGATACCCAACACAACAGTGGAGGAAATGTTTAGTGTTTTTATGACACAACCAGTGAGTCCCTAACCAGTCAGTGACCGACTGTCTTCTGACGTCATGCTTTCAGGTGAGCACAGTACACTTGGAACCACAGTGAAGTAAGTTCTGAAAAAGAGGCTGGTTCCATGAATCCTTGCTAGAGGAAAAGCCTTGGAGCCGTGGAGAGCCAAGTTGAGCCATGCTGTAGAGGTGCTAAYGGAAAAGACGCCTAAGTGCTCCATAAAAAGCATCCTATACTGCATATGTGGTACACTCTAAAAATGAAATGTTGGATTTACTTAACCATGTTATGTTACCTGGTTCCACTTAACTGACTTGAGTAAATTCAAAGCAACATACTCATGTTCTTTGTCTAAAAAACTGATATACTGCTTTGAATTTACTCAACTCAGTTAAGTGGAACCAGGTACCATAACATGGTTAAGTAAATCCAACATTTCATTTTTTACAGTGTACATCAGCTGTACAGTGGCTCAGAGGAAAGTGATGTAGAGGGTTATAAACATTGCCCAGAAGACCAAGGTCTACCCTTTTGTATCATTAGAAGAACTGCACAGATCTCAAAAAAGCTCACAATACCACAAAGRACTCCTTCTGTCCTTTGTTTAAACTCTTTCTTTCAGACAGTACAGATCAAGTAAAATATTGGCGAACAGGTTCAAGAAAAGTTTTCATCATACAGTAATAACTTCACTAAACATAGTTATAACATAACCTAAGATGCAAAGAGAATGTATTTATTTATTATGATTTTATTTAGTATTTTTGGTTTTAAAATTTAAAAATGTATGTTTGAACTATTTTTTATGGATTATGCATCTTAGTTGCCAACTTTGCATTTTGTCAAATCCTCCAAAACTTTGATGTCATGGTGCCACTTTAACTTCCAAAACATTAAAGCAACCTTTCGTAACCTTTATAAGGCTCTGGACAATCAGGCAAAACCATACTTCTTTCCTTCCTCCTCCTCTTCCTGTCATGAAGAGAGGTGAGCTCCTTCACACCTCCTGTAATTGGCCCGGGGGTGTGATGTTCTGAGATTGTAGTGTTTCTGTCAACACTCCTGCTCGACTTTACCCACACCATGTTGTACAAGCTCCCTTCAGTGCTGCACACCACTCGTTACAAGTGTAACATCAGCCCCCCTCCACACCTCCATAGCTCAGGTTTCGAAAGCCCARTGGCACTGCCTTGAATTTCACGGTTCTAAACACCCCCACAAGCGTTTTCCCCTTTTCATATGAAAGGAATATTTAAGATTAGTGGAGTCAATTCCTGGAATTTTTGAAGGAGATGCTTTTTAAGTTATTGATTTCAGCTGATCGATACCGCTTCACATGCAGGGCAGAGCACACATGCTGYCTCTTTCTATCTATCTGCATCTTGTTAATATGTATAAGAAGAACGGTAGCTTCTACTTCTTGCATTAATGAGTCTTAGGAGAAAAGAAAGGCAGATTTACGGTCAGAAAGCAGAAACAGGGGAGTGAAACGGCTGTAAGCAAGGTTTGGCGCTACAAAGAAAGAGAAAACACAACGGAAGAAAGGCAGACTGTTGGACTCACAGACCGACTCCATTATGTTTTGTAAAGGAGAACGCTTTGTGCTTCTGCAGACCCTCTGAATCACCAAACTCAGTTAATCATTGTTGAAGAGGCACAAAAGGCAGCAAATGGAGGGAGGCTTGGTAGCATTGTCGACTGGAAGCCGGCCCCGAGTGTGAGTGGGTGCGGGTTTGTGTGTTTGTTAAGAAAACTCAGCGAGGGCCGCTTAGCAGGATGACTGACACTTGACCTGGTCGCCTCTCTCCTCTTTTCAGTCCATTCAAGCCGTCTGGTCTCCATTAGGAAGTAAAATTAGCTCCCTGTGCAYAAACCTCCACGCTCAGCTCCTCCCCTAAAGGTCACAACCTGCACCCAAAGTCGTTTTGCRTCATTTTGTTGAGTCCTAATGAGGTGACATGCTAAATAATTGTGTTAACGAAACATTTCACACATCATTCTTCTGCTAATCTTATTGTATCTYGCTTGTTTAAGGAGAAACAGCTGCTGGCAATGCTCAAAAGCTATTGATGGATGGTCGAATGGATGCAAAGATGAAGGAGGTGATGGAGGAATCATATACATATGATTAAGAAGCATTTTTCCTCCAGTCTCGAACAATCCTCTTATCTGAAAACAATCTGTGTTTTTCGATACAGAAGAAAAATAACACAATTTAGAGTTGTTATCCRAGTCAAAGATGGCACCGAAGGCACAGGGATATCCAATTTGTTCTGCGTTTGTTTTGAAACACGAGAAATCCCTGAAAGGGGGAGCTGTTTATCGAAACGGAGGAAGAGTTTGAGTGACAGCGAAGGAGACGGTGATTGTCAAGGGGAGCAGCTGGTGTGAGAAAATGATGGGCCATATTGTTGTATCATCATACTCCGAGTCCACCTGCTGCTCCATTAACTGCGATCTGACAACAACAGACTACATCAAACTGCTGCTGCACCAGACAGAAAGGTGAGGTTTTTCCCGTCAAACAAAGAGAAAAGAAACAAACAGCAAGAAACTAACATGGTTCGACAAAATCAGACCAACCCCACCTGTTCAGGATAATGAGTCGCCGAGTAAAACACCAAAATCTGCTCCATTCCTTTGAAGCAGAACAGAAAACTTTTATTTGTAAGAACAAAAAACRTCTGCTGTGAGGGTACACAAAGATCAGTTGGGTATCAAAATGTGAGAATGTTATCTAAAAAATTCATGGTTTCTCTGTCAGCAAACAGGARGAGACTCAAACACAACCACTTCTTTGTGTTTTTTTTTCTTCTAATTCATATTTATATTAAAAATAGATGGCAAAAGATAGTAACAAAACTGTAAATTAAATAAATAAAATTCCATGCTGTCACATGTTCTTAAAAATGAATAATAAATACATAAAACTAACATTTCCTGCAACTTATTTTTGCTTCATACATTTTCATTTCCCAGGAAATCAGTTGCAAATCTGCTTTTCTTTGTCTTGATAAACATCCTTTGCAAAAAAATGTCATGCAAAAGAAGTCACATTAATGCAAAAAAATGTAGGAATAATAACATATTGGTGCTACTTTTTATTTTAGAGTTTTAAACTGCCATTATCTTACGTTAACAGAAT